TGCCTTTTGAAAAGTTAGTTTTCTAAGGATTGACATCAGCATGTGTTTGCTGTTTATTTGGTTTCAGCACAGGATCCATGCTTATGACAGCATCAATTATAGAAGCTCGAGCACACGTGGACCATTCGGATAAAAATAGATTATGTTGTGTAATCATTTACTTTTTACAACTCCAGGTTTTTCACAGTTGTATGACCAGTCCGGAATCACTACTAGAAAAAGTAATAGAGAAGCTTCAATCATCCGGTACTTACAAAATAACCCGACATTACAGCGGTGCCATTATTATCCAATAGAGGTTATTATCGAATAAGGTTGGATGACTCTCTAGCTCTTTATTATTATCATGAAGTAGTTTTCAAGTAAATTATGTTGATTTTTGTTTGAGGATAAGCCGGATGTATTCACTAGTTAGAAATCTATCCATCTATCTTATACAGAATAGAGCCGAGGAGAGTTATGAGAAACAGTGCTGATAAAAACCATATGGCTTAACTTCCTCGGTCGCAAACCACCATAACCAGGACTCGACGGCAGAAAACATAGAGATATAAATTATTTTTACGTTCAGGGGTTGGGGAAGTTTGTTAAAACTAGCAAATTTTCTACCTTGATTTGCCCCGACTTACTCATTTCCACCCCCGTGAGTCAGCCTTTATCGGTGATTATTTTTCGAATGTCGAGGATTAACTTAAGATAAAACGCCAACAATCAATCAGAATTTTTCTCCCCATGCTGATTCATTTACGTTTATCTTAACTATATAAAATTTATATAGCTTCTCTCTCTAAACACACCCCTCTCTAAACATAGATTTGTCCATCTGGTATGGCAGGAAATCCGAAACCGCTATAACAATGTGCACATTGCGATTTCGTATAAAGTCTCAGAGTGGTTATAAATCAAGGTGTACAGTACAAAAAACTTAATTTTGCTTTGTTTTTAGCAAAATGCCAGCCAAGTAGACAATGTCCTCAATAGTCCAAGATATTTTGAGTAACAGCTGACAGCTGCGAGACAAATTAAACAACAATTTCTAGTTTAACAAGACGTTTCGTCTCCAGTTACAAGGGGACAGTCAGTCCCCTGGCATGAGAATGGCTCCCTTTTGACGACTACAACAGAACTGTTTATAGGCAATGACTGCGGTTAAGCGAGGATTGCGGAAGAAACAGTGAATGACCACTTGTAAGTGACTTCCGTTAGGATATCTATCGACTTTTTTTCTACTCATTTCCAAATTTAGATTGTTTTTACTCCAATGGCTTGTATTTTTTTACACTTAAATCGCCCTTTTACATCATTGCCCCTATCTAAATCCTCCTCTCACCAGTCGATTATCTTTATGTCGATCGATTCGATGCGTAGTTTTTATTTTTTTATTTTAATTTTTTTCCCCTCGATTATTATTAATTTAGTGAATATTTTTTTTCGGTATTTTAAATAACAATAATAGTTCACGATATAAACCGCAGATGTCAGCACATGTAACGAAATTTTATAACTTTTGATTATTAAAAATATTTCTTCTTAACATAAAATAAACAAGAAATTATTAATTATATAAATTAAAAATATTTAAATACCGTTAAATTTTTAATTAATTAACATTATATACATGTCGAGTTTACTTAATTAAAGTGAAATGAAGTAGTGTTATATATTCTGTTAATTAAATTTAAAGCTAGAAAACCTTGACCTATAAAGGAACAGGAGACATAAAAAAACACGAGAAGTATTTTCTTTTTGTTTTTTTTTTTTTATATATATCAAACGATCTTTAAATAAAAATAAATAAATACCCTATTACTCTGCCATCTGTATGAGAGAATACGAACTAAACCGAACATATATATATTTTTATTTATTTATTTAAGGATTTTCCTACAAAATGTCGTAAATATCTAAATTATGTAATAAATAAAAATTAAAAGAAAATAAAAATATTTGTTTACCATAACCTGTTGTACAATTCTGGTAAATTGTATAGTCAATAACCTTTAAAAACGAAAGTCGCGAAACTTGTTTATAAAAAGAGTTTATGGAAAAACAAACAAAAAAATTGTACATTTTATTTATATTTTATCGTAATTTTAAAATAATTACATTCATAAAAACTTTAAGAGGCGTAATTATAAGAAATGCTATTGTTATTAACACCTTCGTAATTGAATATAAATAATGGGATATTAAAATACAATGGTAATAAAGTGAAAGTACTTATGACCCGATGATCCTTTGCTCGTGACATTGAACTTGAAGGGTGAATAACCTAACATTCCGGTACTACAAGTCAAAAATGCAGTATTTAAAGGAGCCCCCTTGCATATCTGTTTGTGTTTAAACCATGTTGATGCTAGCTTTACTTTACTTCTCTTATGGACTTATCTCCATCGTTAATGGACACGGAAGAATGTTGGAACCACCTGCTAGAAACATGATGTGGAGATTCGGTTATCCTACGCCACCTAATTACGAAGATAGCGAACTTTTCTGTGGAGGAATAGCCGTAAGTTTTTGAACTTTATATAGTTTTTATATATACGTACCCCCCTATAACACTGTTGATTATTCCGTTTTATATGAATTCCATGTTGTACGAGTCACTTATATTTTACAAATACGTGTGCCGGGCTGTGAACGGCTCACGTATTTGTAAAATCTAAGCGACTCGTACAACACGGAATTCAAATAAAATGGAATTATCAACCGTGTTATAGGGGGGTCGACTTGTATTTCGTACAATTTTTTTTTTTTTTTTTTTTTTTAGATTCAATACCTACGTAATAATGGAAGTTGCGGTGTTTGTGGTGACAGATACGATCATCCTCAACCCCGGCCGCACGAGACAGGTGGTATGTTTGCTACCGATATTATTGCCAGGACGTACCAACCGGGTCAAGTCATCGATGTCATCGTAGATATTGTGGCTAATCACGAAGGTTATTTCGAATTTAGTCTTTGTCCGAGAGGAGAAGATAGATTTCTAGAAACTGAAGAATGTTTCGAAGATAATATACTAGAGTTATCTGATTTCTCCGGTACAAGATATTATGTACCACATAACAATACAGGTTTATTTTTCATGCAAGTAAAACTTCCGAAAGATGTAACTTGTATGAATTGCGTGTTTAGATGGCATTGGCATTCCGGTACGATGACGATGATTTATTTTGCTTTCATTTCATCTTTTTATTCTTAACAGTTTTAATTAAATTTATTATGTTTTAGGTAATAACTGGGGTATTTGCGATGACGGAACGATGAGAAAAGGCTGCGGACCTCAAGAAAATTACAGAAATTGTGCAGATATTAGGATATTCGCAGGTGCTGGTATTGCTGGACCAATTTATTATAGTAATTTTAACGAAACTAAACCGGAATCTAACGTAACCGATACCGAATCTAAGAGGAAAACTGAATAAACTTATAAGTTTGTACAGACCAAAAAAATATTCGAGTTTTTTAAGTTCTATTATATTTGTTGTTTGCTTTCGATCAATGTTGATTTTGACGTCTTTACTCGCTGGAAAGTTTATTTTGTATCGAATAAAACCGAGGTTAAAAAATAATAAAATATTTTGTTACGTACCAAAACGATTTCCTTATCTTATAATAAATTGTAGATTAAATTGTTGAATTTTATAATGTTTATTAAAGGATTTAGTCGGATATTTTACGCTGAGTTTTGAAGATTTCTTTTTCACACGTTTAATAAAAATTTTAAAACAAGTTAATCTATTAAGCAATAACTTTACAATTATGATGATTTATACTTAAAAAAAAAAATGTAATGTAATAAATTATTACCCCTAATTTAGCCACGTAATTAAGTCGGTTTAATTGTGTAATAATAATAATAATTATATTTTCTCTCTATTTTTAAAGTTTTGTTGCTTATAAAATTAAAATTAGAAGAGAAGAGTAAGGTATTTATTTACGTGAATGACACTTGAATTGATTTTCCAGCAATCATCGATATAATTAAATTACACGTCTTGCTTTATTTTTGCTAATAACAATTGATCCTGATTCTCCGGCAACACAATAGAAAAGTAAGAAGAAGAAAAATTCTATATCCGAATTATCCGTAAAAAATATATGAAGATCCGGATGGAATTCGAATCCGGATTCTTAAAAGCAATATAAGAAGATAAGATAGATTGTTATAAAGCAGCGTAACACATGAGCGAACTGCCAAAGGTGGGTGCCTCTCGGAAAGACTTTCAATAGGAAACTGGCCCCCATTAAGGTGTTAGACACGTGAAAACTCGGAAAATAGCCAGGTGTGCCAGCCACCATCAAATACAGTAGGCCTACTAGTGTTCAGCGGTTTTGTCCACTGGATAACTGTTGGGAACGAATTACTTGACATATAATTATATATACTTTAAGTAAAAAATTAAGGAATATATTTTCATTTAAAGACTCATAAATTATAAAACAGCGTGTATTGACGTCATAATGCGTATTATTTGCTTAGAATTAACCTTGAATGAATTTTTATCTATCCGAATGCAGATGTACATTTTCTAGAAGAAGAAGAAGAAAAAAAAAAAATACATATAAATTCACATATGTTAGATGATATTTTAAGGCAGATAAAAATATAAAAAAAAAATTATCAGAAAATTAGAAAGAATTTTTATTACCTATTCACATGGAATTGTTATTATCACGAATTCCGAAATCCTAGAAAATATAGGAATAATGTCGAAATATTTGCAGTTTAAATCGCGTGATATATATATATTACACGACTATAAATATTAAAAAATAATATTTAAAAAAAAACACGTAATATCAGATGATATTTTCGGCATTAAAAAATGTATTTTAAATGCAGATATTACAATATGATAAACTGTTTATTTATTCCGGTTTGAATAGAGTTTACATTACGTTACAATAACATAAAATATATCAAATATGGGAATTTGTATATAATATTTGAATTTTTTTTTTAAAGGTGCAACCGGTCGTTATTTTGATAATTTATTGTCTTGGATTTATCAATTAGTATCGTAAAAAACTGAACATCTGTTAACAATTGATATATTTCTAATGGTTTTATCTGAATCCTTCTAACAGTGATAAAATGATAAGAAAATAAAATGAAAGAATTATCGAAAAAATATCACTTTACATCCGTTGTCTTGTAAAGATGCTGTTGTGGAGTATCTTTTTATCTTTCATCACCTTGGTATGGAGCCATGGAAGGCTTCTGGAACCACCGAGTAGATCTAGCATGTGGAGATTCGGTTTTAAAAATCCCGTTAATTACGACGATGATTCTCTTTATTGCGGTGGAATCTCGGTAATTATTATTAATAATTAATCGAAATCTTTACTTTCTTCACGATATTTCACTAATACATTTATTTAGGTTCATTGGAATAAAAATGGTGGAAAATGCGGGATATGCGGTGATCCGTGGAATCAACCAGAACCTAGAGACAACGAAGACGGAGGAATTTACGGTAATAAGATCATCGCTAGAACTTACAAATCTGGACAGGAGATAGATACCAATGTTTATTTAACTGCCACGCATCAGGGATATTTCGAATTTAGAATCTGTCCCCTGAAGACACCCGATCAAAAGGCGGATCAGGAGTGTTTAGATCAATATCTTTTAGAGAGAGCCGATGGTAAAGGAACGAAATTCCCTATTCCTCCAGGTGCAAAACCCGATAATTATCCTGTTAAGTTGAAGTTACCCCAAGGACTTACTTGCGATAGATGTGTCTTCCAGTGGCACTATCGTACAGGTAATTTTTGTTTCTGATACCACAATTCAGATTGATATGGATGATATTTTTTTTATATTATATATATTTATAAATCTAAACAGGTAACAGCTGGGGCATTTGTGAAAATGGTAAGGGAGCACTGGGTTGTGGTCCTCAGGAATATTTCCGTGGATGCGCCGATATCGCCATTAAATAAAAGAAAATTCTTGTAATTTCTACATGATATTCAGAACTTTTTTTTTCTTTCTTTAAATTATCAATAAATGCATTGTTACTGTTAAATATACATATATTTATTTAATAAAAACCAACATTTTCGTACACAAGAACTTTAGAAAATGCAATTTAGATTTACGTGAAATAACTTACCTATAAAATCTATAATTGAGATATATTAATGATGAAAGATCGGTTACATTCAACAAGTTTGCTTTTGATAAAACCAAAAGTGATTGATATCGTTTCTAAATCCGGTTATCATGATGTTGCTCTAAATTTCATATTTATACAATGATCCATATCAACGAAGGAGAAAGATTTAACATTTATATAAATTGACCTATAAAATACTACATTTCGTTAATTATAATTTACATTTATTGTATTAAATCATCGCTTTAGAGATTTATCAAAATTTATATCTAAATAATTCATAGTTTGATGGGATAAGGAATACAACACAAGGGTGATCTGCTATGGAGCAAGTGGGGAGCCTATCAGGGATTTTCTATGGAAAACTGGGTACCATTTCGGTGTTACAAACGTGAAGAAAACCCAGAAAACTCCGCTCTAACTCGCATAATGTTTTACTTTGTGGGATTTTATGGGATTAACATTAAACTCAGTCAATCGGGATGAATGAGGAATTAGAACTATCAAATATATGAACTTATTACTGGTATAAGTCGACTCCCCCTATAACACTGTTGATTATTCCGTTTTGTATGAATTCCATGTTATACGAGTTACTTAGATTTTACAAATATGTGAGCTGTTCACAGCCTAGCACACGTATTTGTAAAATGTAAGTAACTCGTACAACATGGAATTCATACAAAACGGAATAATCAACAGTGTTATAGGGGGATCGACTTGTATTTGCATAATACAAGCAGTTCTGATATAACAATATTTACAAGTGTAAACAATTTCTATTGCTAAACGTATTAATGTTTTTACGTTGACTTTTTTAAGTGACAGAAATTTATATTATTTATTTATTTATTTATCTAAATAACCGTCTAAACTTCATCTTCAGGAAAATTATATTCTATAACTCTGATAAAGTTTGTAGAGAATTCAAGAATTTTTCGTATATAATAATAAACTAATTGCCTAAAAGATTATTTGTATTTATTTTCACAGAGTTAATACTTAAGAAAATATTATTCCAACTATTTTCATGTCTCTATTATTAAGAAATATGAAAGTAGCAAAGTACTTTCTGATGTTCTTCGTCCGTAATGAATTATGTTCTGTTAGTTTTTCCTGTTTATAAAAAGTTCATGTTTATTTCTCGGAAAAGAAATATTTATAAATTTTTCTATATCGTATTACACGAATAAATGTTTTTAGAGAAATAAATATAAAATTATCCAAACATAATATTACACACAATTTGTTTCCATAAAAAATACTATAAATTAATCATTATATAAATATATTTTTAAATTGTATATATGTAAATTGGCACCGCAACAATTTATAAAATCTATTTTTAAACTTTAAAGGCGTCTGAATTGAATCGAGGAGCAACACCCCAGGAATTTTTCGTGGGTAGTAAATTCCGAATATGTTTGCCCCTGTCCCTCGTTAACCCCCATTGTGGGCCTGACAAACCAACAGCGGGTATTAAAATCCATATTTATTCTAATATTATTTGGCAAATAAACTTTTCAAGATCATTTTCATTAAATAGTAAATGTTTAACATATGTATTTTTATCTCTTAGCAATTATCAATTTTCATTATCTTGTTCCTAATATATTTATTAAAATATTAGCTCTTATGATAATACACTTGCAAGAGATTACTGTGCAATTTCTTACTACAACTTGCCATTTAAATAATAAAATTACCTTATTCCTGTAAAGAAATGTAATTGCAAATGCAAACAGATTTAGTTCTACCTGTTCAAAAATAATAATAATAATAATAATAATAAACGTGTTCGAATTCTCATATTAAATTCAATAAATTATGTATTTAATTTGCATAATTTGTTAACACGTATTAATTTTCAATTAAAAATATATCATAAGAATTATCTTGTCGAATGTATGTGCTGTACTCGTGAGAATAATAATCCATAACAGAAGATTAATGCGATAAAATAATATCAGGTAGATAAATTCAATAGATGAAGATGGGCCTATATAAGAATATGGTATTTGATTGTTTCTTGCTTTCGTATTCTAAAATGCTTCGTTTAATAACCTTGCTGTTCTCAGTTATCGTAAGTGTTCTTGGTCATGGAAGACTTAACGAACCTCCGGGTCGTTCTAGTATGTGGAGATTTGGATTCGATAATCCTGTAAATTACGACGATAATGAATTATATTGCGGAGGATATGCTGTAAGTATTAGCTCACTCTTGCAGCATTTAATCTTAGTCTTGCAAATAATTTCAATTATTGTAATAAATTCCTTCGAGAAAATAAATACCTATTGTTTTTCTAGAGACAATGGACTAAAAATAAAGGCAAGTGCGGAATATGCGGTGATCCTTGGGATGCACCAGAACCGAGAGATAACGAAGACGGTGGTTTATATGGAAATAGAATAATCACTCGCCAATATAAAATGGGTCAGGTGATCACTGCAATTCCGAACATAACCGCAACCCATATGGGTTATTTTGAATTTCGTCTTTGTCCTCTTAAAACTCCGAATCAAAAAGCCGATCAAGATTGCTTAGATCAATACGTTTTGCCTCAATCCAACGGCAAGGGTACTAAATATCATTTAGATCGTGGAGCAAGGCCTGGATTATATCCAGTGGAACTGAAGTTACCAGACGGAGTAACTTGTGACAGATGCGTGGTGCAATGGCACTATAGAACTGGTAAGATAATGACCGTAAAGTAGCTTCGTAAATATTTAGTTAGCTAATTGTTATTTTGATTTTTCAGGTAACAGATGGGGAAATTGCGAAAATGGCGGCGGTGCCATGGGTTGCGGACCTCAGGAAACATTTAGATCTTGCTCCGACGTATCTATCAAGGCATAAATTTTAACTTAATAAGCATTTATTTTATTAGGAATATGTTTANTCAAATACAGTAGGCCTACTAGTGTTCAGCGGTTTTGTCCACTGGATAACTGTTGGGAACGAATTACTTGACATATAATTATATATACTTTAAGTAAAAAATTAAGGAATATATTTTCATTTAAAGACTCATAAATTATAAAACAGCGTGTATTGACGTCGAAAATAAAAATATTTGTTTACCATAACCTGTTGTACAATTCTGGTAAATTGTATAGTCAATAACCTTTAAAAACGAAAGTCGCGAAACTTGTTTATAAAAAGAGTTTATGGAAAAACAAACAAAAAAATTGTACATTTTATTTATATTTTATCGTAATTTTAAAATAATTACATTCATAAAAACTTTAAGAGGCGTAATTATAAGAAATGCTATTGTTATTAACACCTTCGTAATTGAATATAAATAATGTGATATTAAAATACAATGGTAATAAAGTGAAAGTACTTATGACCCGATGATCCTTTGCTCGTGACATTGAACTTGAAGGGTGAATAACCTAACATTCCGGTACTACAAGTCAAAAATGCAGTATTTAAAGGAGCCCCCTTGCATATCTGTTTGTGTTTAAACCATGTTGATGCTAGCTTTACTTTACTTCTCTTGTGGACTTATCTCCATCGTTAATGGACACGGAAGAATGTTGGAACCACCTGCTAGAAACATGATGTGGAGATTCGGTTATCCTACGCCACCTAATTACGAAGATAGCGAACTTTTCTGTGGAGGAATAGCCGTAAGTTTTTGAACTTTATATAGTTTTTATATATACGTACCCCCCTATAACACTGTTGATTATTCCGTTTTATATGAATTCCATGTTGTACGAGTCACTTATATTTTACAAATACGTGTGCCGGGCTGTGAACGGCTCACGTATTTGTAAAATCTAAGCGACTCGTACAACACGGAATTCAAATAAAATGGAATTATCAACCGTGTTATAGGGGGGTCGACTTGTATTTGCATAATACAAGCAGTTCTGATATAACAATATTTACAAGTGTAAACAATTTCTATTGCTAAACGTATTAATTGGAGAGAAAGTGCCTCCGAGGTGTCTGAAATATCCACAAAACTCAAGTTTTGGCCCAGTAAAGTTCAATTCTATAGGAGGGGAAACTTTTAACGTCATTTTATGTGGTCGCGACTAGCGAGAAGGGGGTACTTGCCTATCTTTAGTTGTCTATAACTCGCTTCTTGTCTCTCCTTAGCTCAGTTTTCATTAACGTCTCGGTTAAATCATTGTGATTAATAGTACCAGTTAATTCTCTTGGGGAGGAATGGAAAAAGATCAGAGTAGAATAGAATTATAGGGGATTAAGTATTTTCTATACAATAAATAATTTAATGTATCTCGTTGACAGTGGATGATGTGGCTGACATTCAATTTTCTCTGACACATACAAGCAGCTGAATGCCTTTTGAAAAGTTAGTTTTCTAAGGATTGACATCAGCATGTGTTTGCTGTTTATTTGGTTTCAGCACAGGATCCATGCTTATGACAGCATCAATTATAGAAGCTCGAGCACACGTGGACCATTCGGATAAAAATAGATTATGTTGTGTAATCATTTACTTTTTACAACTCCAGGTTTTTCACAGTTGTATGACCAGTCCGGAATCACTACTAGAAAAAGTAATAGAGAAGCTTCAATCATCCGGTACTTACAAAATAACCCGACATTACAGCGGTGCCATTATTATCCAATAGAGATTATTATCGAATAAGGTTGGATGACTCTCTAGCTCTTTATTATTATCATGAAGTAGTTTTCAAGTAAATTATGTTGATTTTTGTTTGAGGATAAGCCGGATGTATTCACTAGTTAGAAATCTATCCATCTATCTTATACAGAATAGAGCCGAGGAGAGTTATGAGAAACAGTGCTGATAAAAACCATATGGCTTAACTTCCTCGGTCGCAAACCACCATAACCAGGACTCGACGGCAGAAAACATAGAGATATAAATTATTTTTACGTTCAGGGGTTGGGGAAGTTTGTTAAAACTAGCAAATTTTCTACCTTGATTTGCCCCGACTTACTCATTTCCACCCCCGTGAGTCAGCCTTTATCGGTGATTATTTTTCGAATGTCGAGGATTAACTTAAGATAAAACGCCAACAATCAATCAGAATTTTTCTCCCGATGCTGATTCATTTACGTTTATCTTAACTATATAAAATTTATATAGCTTCTCTCTCTAAACACACCCCTCTCTAAACATAGATTTGTCCATCTGGTATGGCAGGAAATCCGAAACCGCTATAACAATGTGCACATTGCGATTTCGTATAAAGTCTCAGAGTGGTTATAAATCAAGGTGTACAGTACAAAAAACTTAATTTTGCTTTGTTTTTAGCAAAATGCCAGCCAAGTAGACAATGTCCTCAATAGTCCAAGATATTTTGAGTAACAGCTGACAGCTGCGAGACAAATTAAACAACAATTTCTAGTTTAACAAGACGTTTCGTCTCCAGTTACAAGGGGACAGTCAGTCCCCTGGCATGAGAATGGCTCCCTTTTGACGACTACAACAGAACTGTTTATAGGCAATGACTGCGGTTAAGCGAGGATTGCGGAAGAAACAGTGAATGACCACTTGTAAGTGACTTCCGTTAGGATATCTATCGACTTTTTTTCTACTCATTTCCAAATTTAGATTGTTTTTACTCCAATGGCTTGTATTTTTTTACACTTAAATCGCCCTTTTACATCATTGCCCCTATCTAAATCCTCCTCTCACCAGTCGATTATCTTTATGTCGATCGATTCGATGCGTAGTTTTTATTTTTTTATTTTAATTTTTTTCCCCTCGATTATTATTAATTTAGTGAATATTTTTTTTCGGTATTTTAAATAACAATAATAGTTCACGATATAAACCGCAGATGTCAGCACATGTAACGAAATTTTATAACTTTTGATTATTAAAAATATTTCTTCTTAACATAAAATAAACAAGAAATTATTAATTATATAAATTAAAAATATTTAAATACCGTTAAATTTTTAATTAATTAACATTATATACATGTCGAGTTTACTTAATTAAAGTGAAATGAAGTAGTGTTATATATTCTGTTAATTAAATTTAAAGCTAGAAAACCTTGACCTATAAAGGAACAGGAGACATAAAAAAACACGAGAAGTATTTTCTTTTTGTTTTTTTTTTTTTTATATATATCAAACGATCTTTAAATAAAAATAAATAAATACCCTATTACTCTGCCATCTGTATGAGAGAATACGAACTAAACCGAACATATATATATTTTTATTTATTTATTTAAGGATTTTCCTACAAAATGTCGTAAATATCTAAATTATGTAATAAATAAAAATTAAAAGAAAATAAAAATATTTGTTTACCATAACCTGTTGTACAATTCTGGTAAATTGTATAGTCAATAACCTTTAAAAACGAAAGTCGCGAAACTTGTTTATAAAAAGAGTTTATGGAAAAACAAACAAAAAAATTGTACATTTTATTTATATTTTATCGTAATTTTAAAATAATTACATTCATAAAAACTTTAAGAGGCGTAATTATAAGAAATGCTATTGTTATTAACACCTTCGTAATTGAATATAAATAATGGGATATTAAAATACAATGGTAATAAAGTGAAAGTACTTATGACCCGATGATCCTTTGCTCGTGACATTGAACTTGAAGGGTGAATAACCTAACATTCCGGTACTACAAGTCAAAAATGCAGTATTTAAAGGAGCCCCCTTGCATATCTGTTTGTGTTTAAACCATGTTGATGCTAGCTTTACTTTACTTCTCTTATGGACTTATCTCCATCGTTAATGGACACGGAAGAATGTTGGAACCACCTGCTAGAAACATGATGTGGAGATTCGGTTATCCTACGCCACCTAATTACGAAGATAGCGAACTTTTCTGTGGAGGAATAGCCGTAAGTTTTTGAACTTTATATAGTTTTTATATATACGTACCCCCCTATAACACTGTTGATTATTCCGTTTTATATGAATTCCATGTTGNTTGATAATTCCGTGTTATATGAATTCCATGTTGTACGAATCACTTAGATTTTACAAATACATGAGCACAGCCCGGCACACGTATTTGTAAAATCTAACTGACTCGTACAACATGGAATTCATATAACACGGAATTATCAACAGTGTTATAGGGGGGTCTACTGTATTCGTCTATAATAACTCCAGCGTCGAATTGTAAAGCAAAACTTGTCCCAAAACGGAACCTGAATAAAACGAAAACATGCCAAAAGAGGGAAAAATTATTCAGAACAGAACGATTTTCTGTATTAGAAAAAACCTGTTCAAAACGGAAATTCCGGTTTACACAGGTTTTACTATATTACCGAAATTCGTTGCAGAATAATCTTAAGATAAGAATGTTTTTAAAGTTTATTTACGAAGAAATTAATACTGAATTATTACGAGTAAACCGTTAAAACTATGTTTTATTCATGTAAATGAATGAAGGATATCGATATTTTAGCTACAAGTTAATCGAGCGAGCAATTTTTGAACCACTGATTGCTAAATTTGATCAACTAGAAATGATTAAAATAGTTTACGTGATTGTTAAGATCAATATAAATAATTTAATCGCTTTTATGTATTGGTTTTCATTCAGGTTTTTCGTTTGGTATACCGATAAAAATTCTAAAATAGTAAATACTGTATTTTAGAAAATTACTTATTCATTTACCAATAACGTTTTGTAAAAATATGTAATGATTATCATGTTTATTTAAAATCAAATATGATGATTTGCTTACTTTATTACTGAATTACGATGTACAAAAATCGATATCGATCGATCTAAACAATAAACACGCACATTCTACCATTAATTGACTTGAACGATTGAGTCACGTAACTCATTACAATGACCGACGACATAATATTTTTCTTTGGAATCGTTTTCCCTCTTTAATTTACAATAAAAAAAAAAGATGAAAACACTTTCCGAAATCAATAAATCATTCAGAGTAATTAATGAATAACGACTGGTGGAGGTAAGTGACTTTCAACAGTTTAAATAAGTTGTATCGATCGGAATGTGGAATGAGTCAGATCGATCACAGCAGCAGTTAGAATCTCTGTAAAACTTACATTGAATGTGAACAAACCTTCGATTTAATAAAAAAAAATATCGCAAAATAAGCTTTGAATTATTGTGTTTTCAAGCGATATATCAAATATAAGTTGCAAGCATCCGCTATCCAGTTACTTGTAATGAAATTTTTAACACGAAACTCCGCGATTTAAATTTTCCACATCCTCTTTATAGGTATCAAAATAGAAATTTTAGTACGTCATGTTTTGAAAATATGTAGAATTCGGTGAATATTGTAGATAACATACAGTTAAATACCTTATACCATCACAACAGGCATCAGCAATACCGACAATCCTTTTGCAATATTTACTAGTAACGATATCTTATCTGTTATAAAATATTTGTAAGTACAATGTGAGGATGCTCGATCACTTATCTTAGGCAATTACGGTGACAAAACTATAAATTTAGTTCAGATTTACACGTCGTACATTTATAGATGTTTTACTACTGAAAAATGTTGTCGTTTCTCTTATTGCTTCAGTTGATTCATCATGTATGGAGCCATGGTCGCTTGATGGAACCTCCAGCAAGATCGTCTATGTGGAGAGCTGGATTTCAAGCTCCTGTCAATTATAACGATAATGAATTATTCTGCGGAGGAATAGAGGTAATTTTCAGTTTTTAATTAGCAAAAATAATATTAAATAATTTTATAAAAATCGATTCGTATTCTAGAAACTGTGGTCTCAAAACCATGGAAACTGTGGTATTTGCGGTGATCCATGGGACGTTCCGCCTCCACGACCGAACGAAGATGGTGGATTATACGGTCGAGGCATTATTGTCAGAAAATATAAAATGGGCCAAACTTTCACGGCGACTGTACAATTGACAGCTAATCATAATGGCTATTTCGAGTTTCGGATATGTCCCGTGCAATACGCAAATCAAGTAGTGGATCAAGCATGCCTCGATCAAAATTTACTCCAATTAGCCGATGGATCTGGTACTAGATATTATGTTGGACCCGGAACGGGAGATATTCATATTAATCTGGTACTTCCTGAAGGGTTGAGTTGTCAGAGATGCGTGTTTCAATGGCATTATCGTGCAGGTAAGTAAAATATTTAATTGTATGGGTATAATACAGTATTTGAATTATCGTGTTTCGGAAAATATGCGAGAGATGGAGCCACTTTCATTTCTGTTTTATTTTCAGGAAACAATTGGGGAAGGTGCAGCGATATGACTCAGGGCTTAGGTTGCGGGCCTCAGGAATATTTCCGTGGATGCGCAGACATACAGATCGAACCTTAAAAGCGCAATGTTACGTCATAAGAAACGTTGTAAAATGTATTGTTACGCGAACAATTATTTATTATAAGCCAGCGATTANCCCCTATAACACTGTTGATTATTCCGTTTTATATGAATTCCATGTTGTACGAATCACTTAGATTTTACAAATACGTGTGCCGGGCTGTGAACGGCTCACGTATTTGTAAAATCTAAGCGACTCGTACAACACGGAATTCAAATAAAATGGAAGTATCAACCGTGATATAGGGGGGTCGACTTGTATTTCGTACAATTTTTTTTTTTTTTTTTTTAGATTCAATACCTACGTAATAATGGAAGTTGCGGTGTTTGTGGTGACAGATACGATCATCCTCAACCCCGGCCGCACGAGACAGGTGGTATGTTTGCTACCGATATTATTGCCAGGACGTACCAACCGGGTCAAGTCATCGATGTCATCGTAGATATTGTGGCTAATCACGAAGGTTATTTCGAATTTAGTCTTTGTCCGAGAGGAGAAGATAGATTTCTAGAAACTGAAGAATGTTTCGAAGATAATATACTAGAGTTATCTGATTTCTCCGGTACAAGATATTATGTACCACATAACAATACAGGTTTATTTTTCATGCAAGTAAAACTTCCGAAAGATGTAACTTGTATGAATTGCGTGTTTAGATGGCATTGGCATTCCGGTACGATGACGATGATTTATTTTGCTTTCATTTCATCTTTTTATTCTTAACAGTTTTAATTAAATTTATTATGTTTTAGGTAATAACTGGGGTATTTGCGATGACGGAACGATGAGAAAAGGCTGCGGACCTCAAGAAAATTACAGAAATTGTGCAGATATTAGGATATTCGCAGGTGCTGGTATTGCTGGACCAATTTATTATAGTAATTTTAACGAAACTAAACCGGAATCTAACGTAACCGATACCGAATCTAAGAGGAAAACTGAATAAACTTATAAGTTTGTACAGACCAAAAAAATATTCGAGTTTTTTAAGTTCTATTATATTTGTTGTTTGCTTTCGATCAATGTTGATTTTGACGTCTTTACTCGCTGGAAAGTTTATTTTGTATCGAATAAAACCGAGGTTAAAAAATAATAAAATATTTTGTTACGTACCAAAACGATTTCCTTATCTTATAATAAATTGTAGATTAAATTGTTGAATTTTATAATGTTTATTAAAGGATTTAGTCGGATATTTTACGCTGAGTTTTGAAGATTTCTTTTTCACACGTTTAATAAAAATTTTAAAACAAGTTAATCTATTAAGCAATAACTTTACAATTATGATGATTTATACTTAAAAAAAAAAATGTAATGTAATAAATTATTACCCCTAATTTAGCCACGTAATTAAGTCGGTTTAATTGTGTAATAATAATAATAATTATATTTTCTCTCTATTTTTAAAGTTTTGTTGCTTATAAAATTAAAATTAGAAGAGAAGAGTAAGGTATTTATTTACGTGAATGACACTTGAATTGATTTTCCAGCAATCATCGATATAATTAAATTACACGTCTTGCTTTATTTTTGCTAATAACAATTGATCCTGATTCTCCGGCAACACAATAGAAAAGTAAGAAGAAGAAAAATTCTATATCCGAATTATCCGTAAAAAATATATGAAGATCCGGATGGAATTCGAATCCGGATTCTTAAAAGCAATATAAGAAGATAAGATAGATTGTTATAAAGCAGCGTAACACATGAGCGAACTGCCAAAGGTGGGTGCCTCTCGGAAAGACTTTCAATAGGAAACTGGCCCCCATTAAGGTGTTAGACACGTGAAAACTCGGAAAATAGCCAGGTGTGCCAGCCACCATCAAATACAGTAGGCCTACTAGTGTTCAGCGGTTTTGTCCACTGGATAACTGTTGGGAACGAATTACTTGACATATAATTATATATACTTTAAGTAAAAAATTAAGGAATATATTTTCATTTAAAGACTCATAAATTATAAAACAGCGTGTATTGACGTCATAATGCGTATTATTTGCTTAGAATTAACCTTGAATGAATTTTTATCTATCCGAATGCAGATGTACATTTTCTAGAAGAAGAAGAAGAAAAAAAAAAAATACATATAAATTCACATATGTTAGATGATATTTTAAGGCAGATAAAAATATAAAAAAAAAATTATCAGAAAATTAGAAAGAATTTTTATTACCTATTCACATGGAATTGTTATTATCACGAATTCCGAAATCCTAGAAAATATAGGAATAATGTCGAAATATTTGCAGTTTAAATCGCGTGATATATATATATTACACGACTATAAATATTAAAAAATAATATTTAAAAAAAAACACGTAATATCAGATGATATTTTCGGCATTAAAAAATGTATTTTAAATGCAGATATTACAATATGATAAACTGTTTATTTATTCCGGTTTGAATAGAGTTTACATTACGTTACAATAACATAAAATATATCAAATATGGGAATTTGTATATAATATTTGAATTTTTTTTTTAAAGGTGCAACCGTTCGTTATTTTGATAATTTATTGTCTTGGATTTATCAATTAGTATCGTAAAAAACTGAACATCTGTTAACAATTGATATATTTCTAATGGTTTTATCTGAATCCTTCTAACAGTGATAAAATGATAAGAAAATAAAATGAAAGAATTATCGAAAAAATATCACTTTACATCCGTTGTCTTGTAAAGATGCTGTTGTGGAGTATCTTTTTATCTTTCATCACCTTGGTATGGAGCCATGGAAGGCTTCTGGAACCACCGAGTAGATCTAGCATGTGGAGATTCGGTTTTAAAAATCCCGTTAATTACGACGATGATTCTCTTTATTGCGGTGGAATCTCGGTAATTATTATTAATAATTAATCGAAATCTTTACTTTCTTCACGATATTTCACTAATACATTTATTTAGGTTCATTGGAATAAAAATGGTGGAAAATGCGGGATATGCGGTGATCCGTGGAATCAACCAGAACCTAGAGACAACGAAGACGGAGGAATTTACGGTAATAAGATCATCGCTAGAACTTACAAATCTGGACAGGAGATAGATACCAATGTTTATTTAACTGCCACGCATCAGGGATATTTCGAATTTAGAATCTGTCCCCTGAAGACACCCGATCAAAAGGCGGATCAGGAGTGTTTAGATCAATATCTTTTAGAGAGAGCCGATGGTAAAGGAACGAAATTCCCTATTCCTCCAGGTGCAAAACCCGATAATTATCCTGTTAAGTTGAAGTTACCCCAAGGACTTACTTGCGATAGATGTGTCTTCCAGTGGCACTATCGTACAGGTAATTTTTGTTTCTGATACCACAATTCAGATTGATATGGATGATATTTTTTTTATATTATATATATTTATAAATCTAAACAGGTAACAGCTGGGGCATTTGTGAAAATGGTAAGGGAGCACTGGGTTGTGGTCCTCAGGAATATTTCCGTGGATGCGCCGATATCGCCATTAAATAAAAGAAAATTCTTGTAATTTCTACATGATATTCAGAACTTTTTTTTTCTTTCTTTAAATTATCAATAAATGCATTGTTACTGTTAAATATACATATATTTATTTAATAAAAACCAACATTTTCGTACACAAGAACTTTAAAAAATGCAATTTAGATTTACGTGAAATAACTTACCTATAAAATCTATAATTGAGATATATTAATGATGAAAGATCGGTTACATTCAACAAGTTTGCTTTTGATAAAACCAAAAGTGATTGATATCGTTTCTAAATCCGGTTATCATGATGTTGCTCTAAATTTCATATTTATACAATGATCCATATCAACGAAGGAGAAAGATTTAACATTTATATAAATTGACCTATAAAATACTACATTTCGTTAATTATAATTTACATTTATTGTATTAAATCATCGCTTTAGAGATTTATCAAAATTTATATCTAAATAATTCATAGTTTGATGGGATAAGGAATACAACACAAGGGTGATCTGCTATGGAGCAAGTGGGGAGCCTATCAGGGATTTTCTATGGAAAACTGGGTACCATTTCGGTGTTACAAACGTGAAGAAAACCCAGAAAACTCCGCTCTAACTCGCATAATGTTTTACTTTGTGGGATTTTATGGGATTAACATTAAACTCAGTCAATCGGGATGAATGAGGAATTAGAACTATCAAATATATGAACTTATTACTGGTATAAGTCGACTCCCCCTATAACACTGTTGATTATTCCGTTTTGTATGAATTCCATGTTATACGAGTTACTTAGATTTTACAAATATGTGAGCTGTTCACAGCCTAGCACACGTATTTGTAAAATGTAAGTAACTCGTACAACATGGAATTCATACAAAACGGAATAATCAACAGTGTTATAGGGGGATCGACTTGTATTTGCATAATACAAGCAGTTCTGATATAACAATATTTACAAGTGTAAACAATTTCTATTGCTAAACGTATTAATGTTTTTACGTTGACTTTTTTAAGTGACAGAAATTTATATTATTTATTTATTTATTTATCTAAATAACCGTCTAAACTTCATCTTCAGGAAAATTATATTCTATAACTCTGATAAAGTTTGTAGAGAATTCAAGAATTTTTCGTATATAATAATAAACTAATTGCCTAAAAGATTATTTGTATTTATTTTCACAGAGTTAATACTTAAGAAAATATTATTCCAACTATTTTCATGTCTCTATTATTAAGAAATATGAAAGTAGCAAAGTACTTTCTGATGTTCTTCGTCCGTAATGAATTATGTTCTGTTAGTTTTTCCTGTTTATAAAAAGTTCATGTTTATTTCTCGGAAAAGAAATATTTATAAATTTTTCTATATCGTATTACACGAATAAATGTTTTTAGAGAAATAAATATAAAATTATCCAAACATAATATTACACACAATTTGTTTCCATAAAAAATACTATAAATTAATCATTATATAAATATATTTTTAAATTGTATATATGTAAATTGGCACCGCAACAATTTATAAAATCTATTTTTAAACTTTAAAGGCGTCTGAATTGAATCGAGGAGCAACACCCAAGGAATTTTTCGTGGGTAGTAAATTCCGAATATGTTTGCCCCTGTCCCTCGTTAACCCCCATTGTGGGCCTGACAAACCAACAGCGGGTATTAAAATCCATATTTATTCTAATATTATTTGGCAAATAAACTTTTCAAGATCATTTTCATTAAATAGTAAATGTTTAACATATGTATTTTTATCTCTTAGCAATTATCAATTTTCATTATCTTGTTCCTAATATATTTATTAAAATATTAGCTCTTATGATAATACACTTGCAAGAGATTACTGTGCAATTTCTTACTACAACTTGCCATTTAAATAATAAAATTACCTTATTCCTGTAAAGAAATGTAATTGCAAATGCAAACAGATTTAGTTCTACCTGTTCAAAAATAATAATAATAATAATAATAATAAACGTGTTCGAATTCTCATATTAAATTCAATAAATTATGTATTTAATTTGCATAATTTGTTAACACGTATTAATTTTCAATTAAAAATATATCATAAGAATTATCTTGTCGAATGTATGTGCTGTACTCGTGAGAATAATAATCCATAACAGAAGATTAATGCGATAAAATAATATCAGGTAGATAAATTCAATAGATGAAGATGGGCCTATATAAGAATATGGTATTTGATTGTTTCTTGCTTTCGTATTCTAAAATGCTTCGTTTAATAACCTTGCTGTTCTCAGTTATCGTAAGTGTTCTTGGTCATGGAAGACTTAACGAACCTCCGGGTCGTTCTAGTATGTGGAGATTTGGATTCGATAATCCTGTAAATTACGACGATAATGAATTATATTGCGGAGGATATGCTGTAAGTATTAGCTCACTCTTGCAGCATTTAATCTTAGTCATGCAAATAATTTCAATTATTGTAATAAATTCCTTCGAGAAAATAAATACCTATTGTTTTTCTAGAGACAATGGACTAAAAATAAAGGCAAGTGCGGAATATGCGGTGATCCTTGGGATGCACCAGAACCGAGAGATAACGAAGACGGTGGTTTATATGGAAATAGAATAATCACTCGCCAATATAAAATGGGTCAGGTGATCACTGCAATTCCGAACATAACCGCAACCCATATGGGTTATTTTGAATTTCGTCTTTGTCCTCTTAAAACTCCGAATCAAAAAGCCGATCAAGATTGCTTAGATCAATACGTTTTGCCTCAATCCAACGGCAAGGGTACTAAATATCATTTAGATCGTGGAGCAAGGCCTGGATTATATCCAGTGGAACTGAAGTTACCAGACGGAGTAACTTGTGACAGATGCGTGGTGCAATGGCACTATAGAACTGGTAAGATAATGACCGTAAAGTAGCTTCGTAAATATTTAGTTAGCTAATTGTTATTTTGATTTTTCAGGTAACAGATGGGGAAATTGCGAAAATGGCGGCGGTGCCATGGGTTGCGGACCTCAGGAAACATTTAGATCTTGCTCCGACGTATCTATCAAGGCATAAATTTTAACTTAATAAGCATTTATTTTAAATAAAAATGTATTATATGTAATATTTTAAAAAATATATTTTTTGTTGTTCTTTGCGATTTTAACATTATAAATCACTATAAAATATGAAATTTGCGTTTAAATAAGTAAATAATTTAATAATTTTTGTAGACACAAGCGTAAATAAATTAATTAATAAACATGAGAAATTCGTTCGGGATCTCTGATAAATATATTTTTAAATTTTTTAGATCTCTGGTAAAATTGGAAATATGGCTCTTGTAGGCCCACAATACGCGGGCGCATCCAAACTATTAGTTCCACTTTTACACTAAATGATTCTATTTTATAATAAATTTTAATTATACAATAATTGTATTTCCGCAGTTGTTTAAATATCGGAAATAGCAAATTGTATTCTTATTGAAACCACCATATTCATGCAAAATATAGTCGACCCCTATAACACTGTTGATTATTCCGTGTTATATGAATTCCATGTTGTACGAATCACTTAGATTTTACAAATACATGAGCACAGCCCGGCACACGTATTTGTAAAATCTAACTGACTCGTACAACATGGAATTCATATAACACGGAATTATCAACAGTGTTATAGGGGGGTCTACTGTATTCGTCTATAATAACTCCAGCGTCGAATTGTAAAGCAAAACTTGTCCCAAAACGGAACCTGAATAAAACGAAAACATGCCAAAAGAGGGAAAAATTATTCAGAACAGAACGATTTTCTGTATTAGAAAAAACCTGTTCAAAACGGAAATTCCGGTTTACACAGGTTTTACTATATTACCGAAATTCGTTGCAGAATAATCTTAAGATAAGAATGTTTTTAAAGTTTATTTACGAAGAAATTAATACTGAATTATTACGAGTAAACCGTTAAAACTATGTTTTATTCATGTAAATGAATGAAGGATATCGATATTTTAGCTACAAGTTAATCGAGCGAGCAATTTTTGAACCACTGATTGCTAAATTTGATCAACTAGAAATGATTAAAATAGTTTACGTGATTGTTAAGATCAATATAAATAATTTAATCGCTTTTATGTATTGGTTTTTATTCAGGTTTTTCGTTTGGTATACCGATAAAAATTCTAAAATAGTAAATACTGTATTTTAGAAAATTACTTATTCATTTACCAATAACGTTTTGTAAAAATATGTAATGATTATCATGTTTATTTAAAATCAAATATGATGATTTGCTTACTTTATTACTGAATTACGATGTACAAAAATCGATATCGATCGATCTAAACAATAAACACGCACATTCTACCATTAATTGACTTGAACGATTGAGTCACGTAACTCATTACAATGACCGACGACATAATATTTTTCTTTGGAATCGTTTTCCCTCTTTAATTTACAATAAAAAAAAAGATGAAAACACTTTCCGAAATCAATAAATCATTCAGAGTAATTAATGAATAACGACTGGTGGAGGTAAGTGACTTTCAACAGTTTAAATAAGTTGTATCGATCGGAATGTGGAATGAGTCAGATCGATCACAGCAGCAGTTAGAATCTCTGTAAAACTTACATTGAATGTGAACAAACCTTCGATTTAATAAAAAAAAATATCGCAAAATAAGCTTTGAATTATTGTGTTTTCAAGCGATATATCAAATATAAGTTGCAAGCATCCGCTATCCAGTTACTTGTAATGAAATTTTTAACACGAAACTCCGCGATTTAAATTTTCCACATCCTCTTTATAGGTATCAAAATAGAAATTTTAGTACGTCATGTTTTGAAAATATGTAGAATTCGGTGAATATTGTAGATAACATACAGTTAAATACCTTATACCATCACAACAGGCATGAGCAATACCGACAATCCTTTTGCAATATTTACTAGTAACGATATCTTATCTGTTATAAAATATTTGTAAGTACAATGTGAGGATGCTCGATCACTTATCTTAGGCAATTACGGTGACAAAACTATAAATTTAGTTCAGATTTACACGTCGTACATTTATAGATGTTTTACTACTGAAAAATGTTGTCGTTTCTCTTATTGCTTCAGTTGATTCATCATGTATGGAGCCATGGTCGCTTGATGGAACCTCCAGCAAGATCGTCTATGTGGAGAGCTGGATTTCAAGCTCCTGTCAATTATAACGATAATGAATTATTCTGCGGAGGAATAGAGGTAATTTTCAGTTTTTAATTAGCAAAAATAATATTAAATAATTTTATAAAAATCGATTCGTATTCTAGAAACTGTGGTCTCAAAACCATGGAAACTGTGGTATTTGCGGTGATCCATGGGACGTTCCGCCTCCACGACCGAACGAAGATGGTGGATTATACGGTCGAGGCATTATTGTCAGAAAATATAAAATGGGCCAAACTTTCACGGCGACTGTACAATTGACAGCTAATCATAATGGCTATTTCGAGTTTCGGATATGTCCCGTGCAATACGCAAATCAAGTAGTGGATCAAGCATGCCTCGATCAAAATTTACTCCAATTAGCCGATGGATCTGGTACTAGATATTATGTTGGACCCGGAACGGGAGATATTCATATTAATCTGGTACTTCCTGAAGGGTTGAGTTGTCAGAGATGCGTGTTTCAATGGCATTATCGTGCAGGTAAGTAAAATATTTAATTGTATGGGTATAATACAGTATTTGAATTATCGTGTTTCGGAAAATATGCGAGAGATGGAGCCACTTTCATTTCTGTTTTATTTTCAGGAAACAATTGGGGAAGGTGCAGCGATATGACTCAGGGCTTAGGTTGCGGGCCTCAGGAATATTTCCGTGGATGCGCAGACATACAGATCGAACCTTAAAAGCGCAATGTTACGTCATAAGAAACGTTGTAAAATGTATTGTTACGCGAACAATTATTTATTATAAGCCAGCGATTATCAAAATACTTTAATGCATATAAATATTATATATATATTAAAAAAAACATTTATAATATTTTATTTAACAGATTTAAATTATAATTATTTAACAATTTTAAAAATTATATAGTTCCGAATTCATCCATCAGATGGCATTCGATCTAGTGGCATGGTTCCAAAACACGCCATGGAGCGGAAACATTTCGAATTAAAAAATATATATACTGTATTTTTTTTAATTAAATTAAATTAAAGTTTTCTATAATAATTATCTCGCTTAATTTTATAAAACTGCGATAAATTCTTTTAAACCAGGCTTACTTTTTTTTTGTATCGACGTGATAAATTAAGAAAAATATCCATAAAAATAATTGATTTAAAAAAGAAAATTCAGTTCATTAACGTGAAAATAAATAAGAATAAAATAAATTTCGATGCTATAAAAATGCATAAAAACAAAAATTATCTAAGCGATAAATTTCCTATTAAAAAAAAAAAAGACAATGTCTGGTCTTATTAACTTATAAATTTTTAAAGATTTCCTTTAATAAAATTACATAAGAGATTATTAATTCATAACACTTGTAATAAATTAAAAAAGAAAATAATATTCCGAAATCCTGAATAATAAATAAACGAATTTTGTGCCGATTTAATATATTAATTTTTAAGGCTTTAAAAAAAAAAAAGATGACAATTCTATAAATGAATCAAGGAAATATGTCGACTATAGTTATTAATTTCTTTAAGTAGAACTTCCTTTATGGTAATTTCCAGTTTGAAATTGTAGGCCTAAAGTATTAGGTAGAAACACTTATTGAAAACGTGAAACGAAAGTTAAATACAGAATTTATAACATTGACACTCCACACATACTTTTTATAGAATCGATTTTTATATGAGCAGCTGTAATGGTGTGCAGAAATCCACAAATGCATTTACATTATAACCACTTTAAAAATTCAAAATAATAATAATAATAATAATAAAAGTATATTTATTTATAATGCGGTAGATACAGAATTAAACAGATTTAATTTTATTTTCTGTATAAGAATTTTTTTTTTTTTTTTTAATTGATAAAATATCGATCGAGGTCGTCAATCCCGATTTCAATACGTTATAAATAAATTCGAGTAGATAGATAATTTGCATTTTATTTTATTAATATAAGACAAGTTTACCCTTATACGTAAGACATTTATTATAATATTTCTACATGTTTTTACTCGTGTTTTCTAGGTTAGTATTGAGTAAACCTTACGAGAGGTGTTTTATGACGTTGTTTTCTAATTATTTTTGTAAAATAATGAAATATCTTTGGTCTTCATTCTCTCATGGATCCGCATCCTCCACGAATGAGGGAATACCCACCCCGATCATACAGATACATTTGTTTATGTTTATCGGGTTTCGAAGTGAGACCCACCCCCTAAAACATCATCAAAATGTATTATCATAAGACTTAGATAAGTCTAATGTTTCAGTCTTCTAGTTTAATTATAAGCGGATGAAAGTTGAGTTGCAAGAAGACGTGATAAAAAGCGAATTAAATAAGAGTTTAATAATAAGAAAAAAGAAAAAAAATATGATAATTTACGGGAGAAATTTAAATACTTAAAACGTGCTTAAATTGTTCATATTTCTCTTTAAACTGTATTTAGTAATAAATTTTACTTTGTAGTTTAAAGTAGCGTGTGTAAAGTGTGCGTTTCTATTAGGTAAATTGGTCGCATGTAAATAAACTTAGAAAATTTTACAGTTTATCCTTTACCGAAAGAAAATTTTTAAATATCCTTGCCTTAACACAAACTCGAAATTTGAAAAAAGAAAAAAAAATAACCATTAAAACATCATTTAAATTTCGAAAAAAATTATCTAATAATAAATGAAAAATGTTAATAATGACATTAAAAAAATCAGAAAAAAAATTATTATAGATAATGATGTTTAAAATATTTTAAAAATTACTTACATAATAATAAAATTAATTAATTTTAAAAATTTATAGATGGACTTTATTACTTGTTCTACTGTATTTAACTATTACTGTTATAAAAATTCAAATAAATTTATTTATTCATATTAGATCTAATAATAAACATATTTATTCGATTTTATACATTTTTAATAATTAATTTCCATTAATAATGATGTTAATAGTAAATAGTATAAACGGAATTCAATTAATTGTTTAGTAATAACGTACAAGGCTTGTTTATTTAATCGTATGTACACTTTGCAAATTTAATGAATAGATTAATCATTTATACCAACAATAAATAGAACAAACGACATTAAATACTTTATAATAGAATTATAAATTATTATTATTTTTTACTATATTGTAATCAGTAAAATAAAAAAAAATTACATTAGTAATGAATTAAAGTAAACAGTAAACGATAATTTAGCTAATTAAAATGTATTTAATGTATTAAATTAGTACTTATATTCGAATACAATTACACGAATTTGTTTTCGACGAATTTTTAATTACAGTAGGCCCTCGATTTAAAGGTCTAATCGGGTTAAGGGGTTGTCTTCTATTGCCGAAAGTCCTTTTAAATCGAATGTATTTTTAAAAGCGTATATAGGGGGTGGCCATATATCGCCTTTAAGAAATACACCAGACTTTCAACCTCTATTGAAAAGCCGTATTATCTATGTGCTATATTATATACAAATAACTAAAACACTATAGTTTTATTGTTAATTTACTTTGTTGGCACTTTACGATCGATTAGGTAAACAAACATTCAAATGTATCCTTGGCTTTCAGTTGTCTATTCGAGGTTAAGTTGCGAGTTACATAGGCCTGTATATGTAAGTAGTGTGTAACGAAGGCTTACTGTATTTTATCGGACATTTCAGTTTCGATTTCGTTTATGGAATATGATAATATGATATATAAAAAATATATGCAAAGTAGACAAAGAAAAATGATAATTTACACTGGAAAAGTGATCTAAGTTAAGGCAAACGGGTTACAATTGACGAAACGAAAACACTGTAACACGGCAATGTCGAACGGTTCAATAAGAGGAGATCGATTATTCGAATTAATATTCGTTGGAAGCGCTATACTACGACATTTTCCTGTCGACAGAGCTACGACAAAGGCAATAATGCAATTTAGGATTGTGGCATGCGGAAAAGCGTGACCATATCCACCGTGTGATCTGGGACTCTTCGCGATATATATAGATTACAGCACCATCTGATAATCGTGTGTCGAAGAACAATCGGCAACCGAAAGCCAAGAAAAGGGGGAAGTTAATCATGATTTAACCCGTCCGGGTCAAGGAGCAACTCGTGTTGTGAGGTTTTCCACTAATATAAATTGACACGAAACGTACTATAACGGTATTCTTTTTCCGATTCCGAAGCCAGCAAAATTATAATCGAACCTCCCTCCCTCCCTCCCTCACCCTTAATTAATTTCCGAATATTTTATTCTTTCGGTTGTGATGAAATTCCGGTCGGCTGAGTGGACCCAATGGACACGTGACACCGACATGACTATATTAAGAAGAGTCGGACATATTCGTTGGATGATGAAAGCTGATGATCTCGCTTGATTAACCGATTGACCGAACCCGCGGCGAGTTCCCAGACTATGATAATGTGTCGTGTTTTCCACTTGATTCGTCTCCGATGGGAGACATCGCCTGGCAAAAAATAAAGTCGACTCTGCGTGAAAAGTCAGGGGTTAACAGGATATCCGTTTAATTTTTATGACATTCGAGCGTGATTAAATATATAGTATTTAAAGACGATGTACAAATTTAAGAAAAAATGCCATTCGTACACGATTTATATCCCATTAAACTAGTAAGATTTTCGGATATTAATTAGATGAAGAGAAATCCTAATTCATTTTTGAGAAATAACCAGTAAATAAGTGTAAATTTCATTCGGTTCTATGCAGATTAACAAGGCTGCTAAATATTTAAATATATACAAGTAAGAAAATATAAAATATTTCAAATACTTGGAAAGTGATGAAATTTTTTACTTAAAAATGCAATGTTTAAAGTCACTTTTCATTCGAATTATTTAAATTTTAGAGAAATTTATTAATTATAGATAAAAAAAATATTCCCTTGTTTCCGAGTGTTTTTTAAATAGAAATTTTTATTACAATTTTTATTTTTTCCCCCTTTATAATGATTATAGTAAATACATAACTTGAGTGACGAACAAGTATTGTGTTCAAGCTACAAAATACAATTGATAGAGGTCATATAATTTGTGAAACCTAAATTTTTTATCCGATTTCTAGTTCGGTAAATCAGGAATTACGAGACTATAAACTAAATCACCACTTAACTACTATCATAAAAAGGAAAATAGTTTAAGTCGTCACTACCCATTTCGTTCGAGTATAACCAGCATATATATAAACAAACTACTTATTTTATATAAAGGTTAAGTAAATAATCAAACATTAAATAAATTACGATCCTTTAATTAGGCAAAGATAAAAGCAGATTTCGGTAATGGGTAATGGTAAAAAAAAGGTATAGTATTTTATAAGCTCGTAACTATGAAAGATATTAAATTTTTTCTATTATAAACTAATAACGTACTTTCTGTTATAATATATATTCATACTTCTGAAACTATAGAGCCTTTTTTTAAATGTTATTTTAGTATTTTTACATACTTTGTTGGACTTTACAGTTACATTCTTTGAAAAACAAATGAGTGATAATGATGTATTTTATGTATATATATAGGCTATATTTTTAATGAAATTACTTGTGTGTGATTTAATAAATAAGTTTTAATAATAAAATATTTTAATACAAAGGAAATAATTATAATAATAACTGCTGAAGATATGATTTATTTGGCTTGTAAAATGTAAAAAAATGCTAAGATTTTCTTCATTTTATACAGCAGAAGTATTCAAAATTTTATCTTACAGTGTCTTAAGTTAATATTCTATGTAGAAATTGTTATAAAATTAATAATTATAAGATTTATTAGTATATAAAAATGGTCGAGGATATTGTTTTTCAACTATTTTACGTAGTTTTAATTGTGAAAATTGCGTACTTTAATATTTTAACAACTGTTTTAATAACATAAAAATCTACAGTACTTAATACAGTATCATTATAATAGATTAAAACGGATCGTACTCCTTGTACAGACTTACATACTAAAATAAAATTCTTTACATTCGCTAATTCCGTTGAATCTTAATTCGTTTAAAGAAGTAACGGATAACAGATGAAACGTTTGCTGAATTTTGAGTTTAACCATGCAAACATCTCGCGTGTGTCATTTTCTGCTTCTTTAAACAAGCACAGATTATATTCTACGTGAAGTGATTTCTCTGTATATTTACAAAGTAATACTTTTACACAGCAAATACAATTTATTTTAATCAAAGTTTTAACGATTTAACTTAGTAAATGTTAACGTAATTACCTTAGCTTATAGGAAAACTATGATTAAGGGTTGAGATTTTCCCGAAATTTTACACAAATAAAAATACAAGTAAAGATTTTTACTTTGTTAATCTTACACTGATGTTTTGTTCTTGCTTTTCTCGAATTTTTCCCACCTTTTTTCCCAAATTTGGGAGGACAGTTTCCCCTGTTTCCCCGCTCGTACACCCATGGATTTACCTCTCTCTCTCTCTCTACCTTTTGACTTAGTAGCATTGACTATCTTAGTAACTTTTACTGTATTAATTCACATAACTTGTTTTCTTAAACGATTCAACTCTACATTATCATATTTTTGTACAATCTGCTGTAAAAAAATTGCCTGCAAAAGACTAATATATTTGATTATTCTATTTAAGTAGTAGCATCTATTTAAGTAGTTAAAAAGCATTAATTAAGCTTCACGTCTTTAAAACCTATCGACAGATATAGTAAATTTTATCATAATTTAAAAATTTAATAATTCTTTTATGGAATTACAATCCATAATTACGATGATGGACCATTCATTTTACCGGAATGTGCGATGTAACAATTCCGACAAGGAGATAGAAATCGTTATGGAACGTCCATGCCTGACAACCAGTTTATAGGAGCCATCTTTATAGAAGTAATTCATATAGGTCTGTCGAATTAACTCTTTAAAACAAATAAAAAAAAAATAATGGCTTCCTTACAGGAAGAAACAATGGTCATTAATTACGCTTCATCGTTTTTCTGTAACAATAAGGAGGTATTCGAGTAAACCGTATTAACTATATAACTTTTAACTATCTAATTTTTAACTATTCTTCCGTCTTCACTCTTCGAATTTAATCTTTCGAGTGTGACGAAAGCAATGATTTGGAACGACTTTTCCCGATCTTATAGAGTGTTAAATATATATATGCCATTTTACTTTTAGTTTGTTGAGATTTTCAAGAATTTCTCTACAGTTTGGCTTTTCTAACCTTATCAGAAACTCCTTTAATTCCTTAAAAGGAGTTAGATTTCTGTAGAGGATGGATATATAGAATATAAAAGTGAAAATTTCTAAACCAAACAAACTGTATTTTAGTAGTTTTATTGTAGTATCCTCCAAAGGCACACAGATTATCATTGTAGTAAGGAACAAGGCAGCACTGAGCATTTTAACCCTGTCACGAGTACAATCCGCATCCTCCGAATTTTGACACTTCAATACGGTTCCAACAATGACATTACCCGCACGTGCTTTAAGGATCAAGCACACGTGCGTTTAAAATTGTACAAAAGAACATTTTACGAAACGTTCCTAACCGTATTATTAAAACTGCATAATTTTCTTTGATTATTATTTATTAATTTTTTTTTTAAATAAGCAATACAAACTTTACGTATCCTTATATCTAACAGGTGACTATGTCAAACGTATCTATACGGGTCTTCATCGTGACACAAGTCAGCCCTTGCAATCACAATAATAAGGACATTATCCTTCATTAGTACCAAGAATATCTTTACTTCCTGCCGTTCTATATTCTTCACTTCCTAGCTTAACCAGTAAGGAAAGAAGTAGGATCCGTTAGTGACTGAACAATTAAAAACTCTTATTCCCAAACTCTACTGCGCAAGCTCGGTTGATTGGCACCTCTTAACGGTATGTGTCCGCCGATGTGTATGTTGGGGCCAGGCTCCTCAATGGGACACAGACGTCCCTCATAGCGAAACATGGCTTATGCCAGTAAACATTGTAGTTCGTTCTCCGTAACCAGTATATTAAGTCCATTGGACTCTACGGGACAGTCAACTATGGCTCATCCTTATGGTCACGTACAATATAACAGTGGTTACTATTATAACGGAGGAGATTACGTGGGGAATTATACAGATAACATACGTCCTAGTGTATCTACGGCTTGGTATGCTAATCAGCCATCCGATCCTCGTCTTCCAGGTAAGATTTCTATATTATTCTATGAGAAATACTAACTTAATTCCTTTTTAAGATAATATTTCTCACACTTTTTCGTTCGCATTTATTCTACTTTCCTTTATCTACATTTAGACCCTATTGTATTATTGTTCTAACTTAGGTTCATTTCTAAAGGAACATTTAATTGTTTCGTTCGTGCCAATGGATATATCATATATCCTCCTATTATTCAATGGATCTATACAACGAAAGCAAATTTAGTTCGTGTCGTGCGACTGTTTAACACATGAGAAACATTCACTTTCGAGCTGAGAAGCATTCGAAGCCAGGAAAAAAAAAAAAGGAAAATTTTTTCTCTCTCGTGGATATTGTTTGCTATGGAAAGTAATTACACACATAAGAGTTTAAATACCCATTTTAACGAAAGCCTATGATACAGTCACTCAGAAAACTCGAAATGTGAAAGTTCTCACCAATTTCATGCATAATAGATCAATCAGAGAAAATTAAATCTGAATTTTATATATTATACATCATATCTTATATATAATTTCTTTATTTTTATGGTTAAAAATATATAAAAGTCGACAATAAAATCTATTCATTTTTAAAATGAGGATCAGAGCTTTATAACGCTTCCAAAAATTGTTTTTAAACATTTAAATAAAATAAATTTTAATAAATTCTAAATTTTTCTACATATTATATTGTATTTTCTAATATAATATAGACAAGATTTTTCTATATTTCTCTAGAATACTTTTAAACAAATTAATAACATAAATTTTTAAAATTCAAATTTAAATTTCCACTTTTGCAATTTGATTTATATTTTGCATTAAAGATAAACACCCATTTTGAATCTAATTTCGTATATAAAATTCCATTTAAATAAAATAATAATAAATTTCGTACNAATTTAACGTATTTTTTTTTCCCTTTGTGTTTCTTTTAATTGAATAATAACTTACCCTTAGGCATAATTGTCTGCAAAAAGTAAAGTAACTTTATAAGATGGTTACTTTTTCTTTAATGTTTTTTTTGTATGTGAAATTAAAAACAAAAACAATATCAATACAAAAGCTAGAAATTAAATGGAGAAATAATTAATTTAAAGCATAATTTTAAAAATTTAATTGGATTCTACGTGTAATTTCATTAAAATTGTTTTTGTTTTTTACTTTTCATTTTATGGAAAGTAAATTTACATAAAATGAAACTAACTTTAGTTAGTTTTCCTACATTAACATATATGAAAACTATATAATTGCAGCTATAATATCTCTGTAAATGTTGCATAAACTTGTATTAGATGATACAGATTTATTAGCTAAATAAATTTAAAACAAATCTTTTGTAATATTAAACAAAGTTTTTAAAATAATAATTTAAACAGAAATAGTTTTTAAATTTGAATATCTTTAATCAGCATGTTATGTAAAACCTAAAATATAACTGTAATCAGTTAAAATGTTGGGTAATATTATTACAAAAATTGAAATTATCATATTATTTATTAATCAAATTTTAAGTTTATTCAAATTATTTTTAAATGTATATTAATATTATTTATTTTGAGATCAAAGTATTATGTCGTTATGTAAACTGTAGAAAATTATATGCACAGTGTAGGGTTTTACTTATATTGATAGATATTAAAAAATATTATCAACAATTATTTAAAAATTAGAGAGAAAGTACTATAATTTCAAATAGTTTGCATAAATTATAGAATATAATATATCTGTGAATCTTCTGACTTTCTGTGAAATCATTGAACAGCATGAAAATCTTGTTTTTGAAATTACATATTGTGTATTTTATTTTCTTACAAAATTATTAATATTTTAATTTAGCCAAAGAACTTGAAAATCATCAGCATTAAAATGTTTTAATTTAGCATATATCATCACAAAATCATAAATTAATTCTAAAGAAATTTTTATTTTTATAATTATTATTACAATGTTCTTAATTTCCAAGAATTTTTTTTATTTGTGGTTATTAATATTTATGTAATTTATTTATTCACTGTTCATTTGTATATAATATTTTAATATCTCTAAGCTTTTTAACAATGGAAAAATGTTTTAAAGTAAAATATAAATTAATTAAAATAATAAGAGAAAGTTTTTCTATTCTTCCAGCTGTAACACAGTATAAAAATGCACTGTCATAAGGAATTGAATAAGAAATTGATTTACCAAGTTAATTAAATTACTTTTTTGCTGTTTGTCTTGAATTAATCTAGTTTCTCATAGTCTATATTTTTGTTTTTTAAATTTATTGAATTTTTAAAATTTGCTTTTCTTTGTCTATTTGTTGTGTAAATTGGAGCTTTGTACTTGAAGATAGAAACTCTGCAATAAGTGTTAAACTTTTTATTGGTTACTTACTTGAAATTGTTGTATGATAAAATTGATTTTCTGAGAAGTAACCAGAAAGAACTGGAAATTTTTTGTTTTGATGCATTTTTATATGACAAACATTTTGAAAAATATACTTTTATGAAGATTTTCAAATAAAAAATAAACATTTTTGTTCAGTATTTAAAATATGTCGTCGATAAGACACGATGCTAATAATTTTAAGGAGAACCGTTTATTGTTTGATTTAAAGATTTTCTTTCGAGACCGTTATACCGGTATTTGGTTGTTGGATCCAAATTTAAATAAGGAAATTGAAGCCAAACGTAAAAAATGTAGAACAACTCTTACGAGTTGTTTTATATTTAAAATATAATACTTGGGAGTCAAAGCAACATCTTNATTTGATTTATATTTTGCATTAAAGATAAACACCCATTTTGAATCTAATTTCGTATATAAAATTCCATTTAAATAAAATAATAATAAATTTCGTACGTCTTAATCGATAATTAAGTTAAACTGAGATATAAAAAAGTAAAGGTTTTAGCCTAAAATTCTAATTTTTAAACGGAAATTTACGGAGTTTTTGACAGAAGAAAATCGAAATTACAAAGTGAGAGTGAGTTATTATTAGCTGATATAGTGTTTAATAGGTTTAAATCTTTATAAAAAAAAGAAATATCTGAAGATCAGAAAGATGGGACGACGAGTGAGGATAAGAAAGAACATTTAGATTTGACCCTCGAATTTACACGTCACATTTCGTGACAAATTGGATGACATTTGTATCATCTTTGGCCAATAGTTTCCTGGAAAATTATGTATAAGGTCATTCGTACATGTACAGTACATTGGATACACAACGTTAAAGAAATTGTCGTGACTTCAATTGTACAATCTTTGTCTTAATTTTTTTTTTTTTTATATCAAACAAATGCTAAATTTCATGCTCTCTTGCATTTCGATGGAAGTTAAAACTGTATAATCAATTTTGAGCAGATTTCGATCTTTATAATCGAATTTTATTATTTTATTGTTTATTAATAAACATTTTACCGTAGAGGAAATTGCGAATAGGAAAAATAAAGCTGGACATAGGTCTTTTTTTTTTTTTTTTTCCTTTTGGAACTCTACGACAATTATCTAAATCTATGAATCTAAAAATAAATACTCAAATGGAATTATTTATAAGAAGAATTTTATGTATATTTAATAATTATATTTGATGCTCACGTGGATCTTCTTTTCGGGATCTTTTGCGATAGAATAATCCTCTATTTTAATAAATTTCCACGCCATAAATGCGGTTGTAGATGGATGTAGTATGCAAATTATTACGTGTTATTTTAATAATTAATATGCGTAAAAATTACATCATAAGTATTACTTTGTAATTACGAGGAAGATAACGTTTACTACGTCAAATTCTACTTTGATAATTGCGCTTTAAAATACTAAAAATTATGTTAGTCGGGAGACTAGAATTTAATTTTAAATCTAGCTTTATTTGCATTTACATTCCACAGTTCCCAACTTGATGTCTCAGCCGGTTCTACCGACAGTAAGTGACAAACCACCCGCAGTGCAATGTCCAGGACGTCGGAAGAGAAGAGTACTCTTCAGCCAAGTCCAAGTACACGAACTGGATAAAGTGTTTCGTAGACAGAAATATCTTTCTGCCACCGAACGTGAAAGTTTAGCTCGACGTCTCAATCTGTCACCCAATCAAGTGAAAATATGGTTTCAAAATCATCGCTACAAACTTAAACGATTATCCAAATTAATGAACGACCAAACTAATAAGGAAGAGGAATCTACATCGGGACAGAGGAGTAGTGATAATAACGAAGATTTATCTTCACATTATACCATCCCCGAGCTGAACGAAAGACATTTGACACCAACAAATAGAGAAACGTTGTCTTGTTCCTCATATCCATCGAATCAATATGGATTAACTATAAATGACAATGCTTCTCCATCCTTCTCATCCTCGCCCTTTGCTATCCTGAACAGTTACGAGCAACCCCCAAATATTAATGGAAATTCCTCTTTCCAATATCAGACACGAACTTGGTGACATCCTACCATTTATAACCCTGTACATTTATTCATTTTCAAAGGATTAAAGAAGGACAATTGTAGTCAAATATGGGGGACTGATAATATTCTAATATGGCCTAGCTAAGAAAAAAAAAAAAATAATAATAATAATAATTAAAGAGGACATTATAAAAGTGTATAACGCAATCATTATTATTGCACTGTTCGATTCGCGTTTTGTATAAAATTTACCATGAAAAAAAAAATAAAATAAAAATATATTTTAAATATTTGATTTAGTTAAATGACTATTCGTTTAGACGTTAATCGTTATAATATGCTAGAAATGGTATTTTATCGTTTCCATCATCTTGCACGCGTTTTGTCGAATTTACACAGTTTAACTATAATTAGGGTCAAACAGTTGCCAGATTATTTGCGTTTTGTCATGGCTGAGCTATTCATAAAAAGGTACATTTTCCGATTGCATCAGTGTCTTTTCAAAGCCGACTTTCTCGTCCTTATAGTCTCAGTATGCCACTTTCTCTATCTCTATCCAGTTATTTATTTATTTATTTATTTATTTCATTTTAAAATCGGAGATAAAAATGATTCGAACACGGTACACGTAAAAAAAGGGAGGAGGGATCAATGCACGCGTACGTTTTGATTTGCACGATTAACAAATGTTTGATCCCGACACGTATTTACCTCGCTCGACACTTGACACCAATTTGAATCGTGACATTCCAAAGGTTTTTCCTTTTGTATCACAATCATTTCCATTGTTAAGGAATGTATCGTTTTGCCACTGGAAACCATTCTTGATCATGCAATAAATTGACCCTCTCCATGAACAATTGGGTCTCGAGACAAATTAACAAATTTAAAAATGGATATAATTAGAGAAAGTCTCATTCACAATCGACAAAAAAGGAAACAGAAGTGTCAGCACGATCAGATATTTATAAATTTTCTAAAAACATCATATAGAATTTTCAGTAAGAAAATAAAATAAAATAAAGTCGAAATTTACAAAGTGTATAAACCAGGAAGACCACCAACACAGAAACATTAAGTAGTGTTGGTGTTGAAGTGCTGTGTCAATACTTGCACAAATAACAATGCCTGTCAACGTCTGTATTCTCAGTGTGAGGTTTTGCTCCAAAGAGGTCGAAGTGGAGCATCCCCAGTTAAATGTAGGTGGAAAAACTTAATTTCATCAACAAAAAAAAAAAAAAAAAAACTAAAGATTACAATCAATTCCTCAAGACCGTACACNTCACCGGTTGTCAGATTGGTTTTATAAAAATTAAAGAATTGCATCTAACTACTTTGATCCATTTTTTCCCTGCAAACAAAAACAACTTCCTGATTAATCCTTTTAAATTCTAAGGATTCGCCAGATTAAAGTTTGAAAATACTTTATTTTATATAACTGATTTATTTTGTTGTTATTTTTCATCGTGATAGCATTAGTAACTCTGGTGTTTTTCTTAAATTGAATTTTCATTCTAAACTATTTCTTTCTTAATAAATTTCATTTTTTAAAAATTTAATTTAAAAACTCTTTATGTGATAATTTTTTGTGCTCTATTATTTATTTATTGTTACTTAATTATAATTTTCTAATTTTATTACTTGCATCTGTAATTATATTCAACTATAATAGAATGATAATTGATGAAGTTGGCTTCTCTCTAAAACATAAACATAATATATTTATCATTAATTAATCTTTACCATAGTTTAACATTAATAAAAGTAAATATATACAGTAATACCTCAACTTACACTACCCTGACTTACGCGATTTTCAAATCTCATCGATTCGTCTTTTATTTGCGCACCACGCAACTCTTGATTAGTTTTGAACCCCACACTACTGTTCAACTTACATAATCGGATGTGTTGTGTGGAATTGACACATAGCTACAATTTATTTTGTGTTTGTTTGTTATATCTACGGAGACTTGAGAGACTCTATGTGGTGATTTCTTGTAACCGTGAACGAATCAAAAGACGAGATAAGATTGATGAGAACATTTATTAGCTTACATACATTCGACTTGGATTTTACCTATATCAAATATATATATTGTATACTGATATTTTGAATTAATAAATCGATATCGAAAACTAAACTATGTAGAGATATAGCATGATATTAATGAAATGGATAATAAAACAATAGTCTACATATTTAATATAAAATCTTCTTTTCTTCATTTATATATCGTATGAAATATTCATTTAAAAAGTTAAAATAGATAAAACAGAACTAATTANGTGTTATAGGGGGGTCGACTTGTAATTCGTATTTTAGATTCAAATTTTCCCGAATTTAAAGTCGAAAATATGAAAAAATTTAAAGTTTAATCCAAATTATCACCTTATTTTTCTCTAAAAATCTTTTATTTAAGAACAGGAACCTTCGAATTAACACTGTATTTGAGATGATTCAATCGTTGGAGAGATTGTAGATTATTTTTTTTAATACAATTGTTTAAGCTCTAAATTAAAATAATAATTAAAAACATATATATATATATCAATTATAGATTTAAACACTTCCTTTTATCGGGAATATTTTAATGTATTTTAATAAAAATCTCCATTATTTTAACAATTAAAAAAAACGTGCTCGATAAGAAAAAAAAGGGGGGAGTACTGTACTTAAGCCCTATAAATTATTAATAACACGGAAAAGTAAATTAAATATTTATAATTTAAATCGTTTGATAAAAATTAAAGTTTAAAAAAAAGGTTAAAAAATTAAATACTTATCGATTTTCTATTTTTAGTTTCTTTTCGAATTGAATAAGTTGATTGGGCGTTTACTTAAATGCTTAAAAGTCCAAAGATCTGGAGCAAATGTTCCCTTAAGGGATACTTTTAAAGAAAATTTATGTTCTTGATCCCTTAATAAGTAAAAAAAAAACTATAAATTTGACACATCAATATTGCTTTTCATCTCTTTCTTTTCTTATTAATTATACATTCGTATCGAGGAAAGTAATAAAAGCCAAACCTGGATAGGTTCCAATGATAAAAAAAAAAAAATATGCAAAATAACAATGAATATCCAAATAAAAATATTTTAATTATATAGAAATGAAATCTTCTTTAATTTCTTATTTTTCGTAAAATAGGAGGAAAGTATCGAGGTTACAGATGCTTCTGTTTTCCTTATAAGTAATAGGGATAATATAGATAAAGTTCAAATTCATGTTCAAAAGTCTACAAACCTAGGAGAAATACGGACAAAATGACATACGGTTTTATTTTAGGTTCATAACTCTTTATTGGTAAATCACAGCACTGTCATATTCTACACCAATCATCTTTGGTTTTTTACCTATGAAATATACTAAACATTTACAATATTAAAATAATAGGAAAAAAATATTGTTAGTTTAATCGAGATCATCCACTATGGATTCTTGGTTCTTTTAGAAACGCCAGCGCAAGAAGCATGAGCCCAACAGAAACAATTTAAGCACCGTAACCAGTCTCCTCCAGACTTAGATCGGGAAAAAAGATCATCGCAATATATGCGCTGACAGTCTTCTTCATCATCATGAGAGTTATCAGGAAAATTTTCTTCTTCAAGTAACTTTTTAGTAATATTTCGTTTCCTTTTCTCTGGCGGAGCTTTGGACACATTTTTTTTTTATTTAATTGCCTTCTTATTAGGAGTAGAAGTTAAAACTAAAGATGTTTGTCGAGTCACGTGATTCGTTGCAAGTTTTTCGTTATGTGAAAGATAATAAGTTTGTAAATAATATGTAAGAAAAGAAATAAAGTTTTATACTAAAATTTCTTTTAAAATACTTTCAATAATGAAAGTATTTGTTTGGAAGACATTTTTGATAATTAATAAAACGTTAAGAGATTAAGTAAGTTCCTTGACTAAGCTCTTATGGACTAAATGACAGGTATGTCATTATGTCCGTTGCCTATGTATGTCGTTTTGTCCATGTAACGTTATAAAAAAACAAAATTATAAAATAAATACAAAGATATTATTTTTAATGAAAAAAGTTATTTAAGTGGAACAACAAATTTTTGAGGGTTGAAATAAATGTTACATAAATAGATAAAATAGTGAAAAAATTACCATCTATACAAAAAACTTGTTGCGAAGAAAAAAAACTCATAACGTATTATTTCTTGTTGTCGGCCATGACACCCGGGCGAATGAGAGGAGTGCGTTCACATTTTGACAGGTTAGTAAGAGCCGCTCGGATAACGTTGTGTCATGGTCAGTTGCGAGTTTGAGACCGCCAAATTCGAATTATGATGCCTATGTCATTTTGTACGTATATGTCATTTTGTCCGTATTTCCCCTATTACTTATTTACATAAGGAAAACAACGATATTTCTGTGTTATTTGATAAATTTTCTTTTTGATAAAATGAGAAAAATCTCAGCATCTTCCATATAAATACAGTTGACCCCCCCTATAACACTGTAGATAATTCCGTGTTATATGAATTCCACATTGTAAGAGTCACTTAGATTTTACAAATACGTGTGCCGGGCTGTGAATGGCTCACGTATTTGTAAAATCTAAGTGACTCGTACAACATGGAATTCATATAAAACGGAAAAATCAACAGTGTTATGGGGGGGGGTTCGACTGTACTGTACTTCAAATTCTTCTGTTTTACTCTGTAGGGTCTAACATAATATTTATTATATAATGTGGACCTTATGTTATACATTTGGCCACATCATATAAACTTAATATAATTTATTGTATTAGGTTTATAGAGAAATTTACGTATAAGCTACTTAAATTCTGTCAGTGTTTCTTCGAATGATATCGTCCGAATGTCAATGTTTTTTATTTTAAAATTTAGATTTATTGTTATTAAATATTTTATATTATATTTTTAAATATTTAAATAGACGAATTAGAATTGACATTTCTAAAAATTCTGTTGCGTGTTAAATCTATAAAATGCTAATTAAAAACGAACGTTTTCTTTTAAATTTTAACACGTGGCCTGTTTTAAACTTAGGCCTAAACCTAATATATAATTCATGTATAATAACAGTTATAACTTAAAAAAATATGATATAAAAGTATAATTTAGTATTCATTACTCTATAGTTTATAACTAGAACCCCGTTGAGACGATTAA